TTGTGGCAGTTGTGTGCACAGTTGATGTGTGCATGAGGGGTCGTTGCCAATGTTCTGGGCGTGCTCCCTCTCAGATTTACCTCAGAATAAAGTGGTTTAGATCATCTGTTGGCTTGTTTACAACCTGTCTGATTGTCTGATATGTTATTTTGCCCCACCATGAGATCCCTATTTTAAAGTAAACATAAAAGTATAAAGCTGAGGATGAAACTAGCTAAATGGATTTTCGCAATGTGGAAACTTTTATTTGTGGCTTATTACTGCTCAGCGAAGCATTCAAAATGACAAAGTAACTGTTAATAAAAACTTGCAAACACTTAATAAAGTACGCCTTATTAGAGCCTCTCACTGCTGCCATTGTTCAAGCAGCATTTCAGCAAAGAGGAGCACACCCTGAAATTACGGCATGACAGATTTTCATCAAGAGGAGTTCCTCAGAGCGTAATGATGGACGATAGGGGTGAGTCAGGCTTATAGGGTTTACCTCAGTGAGTGCCAGGGGTGGAACCTGGAACCAGTTTGAAAGAAGCCCCCGCATGCGTGCACAGGCTGCTGCGACCATTAAGACTTATTCTAGCATGGGACAATGGGATTACTGTGTGTACACGTGTATTTGTGGGTGGGTGTGTGCGCGCGCGTACAGGCATCCATGCGTGCAGGCCTGCGCGAGTGTCGATGAGAGGAGTCAGAGACATCAGTGTGTGTTTGTGTATGGACTTGCGTTTGTGTGGATGGGCACACTCAGACATGAGCCAAGCCACCAGCCGGCCACATAAAAGCATGTCTCTGGGAGGTGGAATTTTAATGTGGAAATGGGAACAATGATTTCTACTTTTAAATGTGGACAAGAAGCAGAGCCCATTGAACAGCAGACCAAAAATGATGGATCAATTATTAATGCATTTACCGTCACACTGTGAGCGTGTGAGTGTGTGTGTGGGCGGTGCTTGCATGCAAAGCCGGTACATGTACATGTCCACTTCTCTGTGTGCTGTCATGTGTCCTCTGTGAGTTTGTGTTTGTCTGCTTATTCACGCGTTTGCTTCCACCCAGTTTGGCATTAGTGAACTTGTTATGTCTTATTTTCAAACGTGCGGATGCTGCATGCTGAAGATAGCCAGTCGAGAGAGCTTCTTTGTGTGTATGTGTATGTGTTGTGTGTGTGTGTGTGTGTGTGTGTGTGTGTGTGTGTGTGTGTGTGAAAGAGAAAGAGACAGAAAAAGCAAGAAAAACGAGAGGAGGAAGAGCTCAGTGTTTTCCTCTCTGTCATAAAATTATCTCAGTATTTTATTCCATCTCTTTAAAAATACGTTTCATTACATCTTGCCTTACAAAATAATCACACAAACAAAACCCTTTTGCATGTGGAATTCATGTTGTCACGTGTGTGATATTTTATTCCACATGTGAGATAGAGTAACCGTTGAAACCTTGTTTCAAATGTGATATAACCAGGGGCGGATCAAAAGGGGTGGCAGCGGTTGCAGCTTTCACACCTAAAATAATGCATGGCTTCCCCAGTCTTTTTTCAAATTAATTAATTATTTCACATTAATTAAGATACATTTTTAAAATAACATGTTAAAAAAGAGAAATTATTATTAGAATTATGTTTTATGGCCACATTTTAGATTAAGTGATAGGTTAAAGTGCAACAAATAAAGTGAATGTCCACCAATGAATAATTCCACCTTTAGATATTTCTATTCAATGCTTTACTACTGTGCCACAATATGTTTTTGAGTTTATGGGAGCTTTTCTAGGCAAATATTGATAGATGTGATTGTTTGTGATTAAATGAGCATACACTTCTTCCACCCCTTAAAGTCTCCATGACACCCTCTGGACACCCCATCAATGTTTCTCTAGATCCACCCCTGGATATAACATGTGTTTTACTTGCAGTGACTTAAATTTAATTAGCAAAATATTTGAAAATTCCATTTGCCTGTATCCTGTGAATTTATGAAATGTCTCAAAACCACATGTGAATATAGATTTTTCACATGTGAAATTGTGCTCTACATATGATTACTATGTAAAAAGTGCTTCTTGTGATATGCTGTCTTTAAGTTTAGTTTTAATGTCTATATTTTACTCACATACATTTGACATTGCATACTGTAACTAAGCTTTCATGTTAAAAAAGGAAATTTTCATGTGTAGCAGATGAACTAAAACTACTGTTATATATAGCTATCTCTTTTGGTTTGTGTTCCTAAATGTTGCCGTGGTGGTCTTAGGATGCTCTGAGATTGCCCTGCGGGGTCCAGTCCATTCTGCTCATAGTGGATTAAATGATACTCCCCCCTGTATGACCAGATAATTAAGAACACAGCTCGGCCTGACTGCAATCACAGATATAACTGAGATATAAACACAGTGGAAGAGAACAAAAAGAGGGAATGCAAAGACAGACAGAAAGAGAGATCAGAGGGGTCTGCGGAGAGGAGAAATCTGAAGAGGGGAAGAGATGGGGGGAGGGCGAGAGTGAGGAACAAGAGGACAAACAGAAAGAGAGAGAGAGAGAGAGAGAGAGAGAGAGAGAGAGAGAGAGAGAGACTTCTCAGGACCCGTCTGGATCTCATTTAGAGGATAGTAATGCGATTAGCTTTGTTTAGTTTTCACAGCTCCAGCCAGTCCCCATGAAAGACCTCTGAGAGTGTGTGAGGGTGTGTGAGAGTGTCGTGGAGGGTGAACGAGTAGGTGAAGTGTATATTTTGTCTTGTGTTTGCATGCCTTTTAGTCTTCTTAAAGAGATTAAACTTAGTTCAGATCAAGAGTGATACTTACATTTGATGGCGATGCAGAACCACAGAAATACAAATACCTGCTAATTAATCATAAACAAGCCTTTAGACATAAAAAGCTCTTTTCTGTCTGTAATTGTGGATGATTGTATGGTTAGCTGTTGCACTGACAGATACAAAATACACAAAATATTAGATACAGCTAAAATACAATTTAACCAATCCAAAAGGAGCATTTGTTTCAGGACTATGTCCATGATATTGTGTCCTTAACCCTCAGACATGTTTAATGACAATGTGGTCGACAGTTATTCTTAGCAACCAACAGGGCATTGTTTCAGCAAAGAAAAGGCTGTTTAGATTTTAAAATATTATTTAAAGCACAATATAAGTTCCATTCACCTCTATTATATTTGGGTGGCGGCTAAAGTTCCACAAGCAGCCCTGTCTCCTAGACATGATGTATATATATACTACTAGATTGCACTGTAAAACTAGATACATTCATGTAACTCAAAAAATTGTTGAAACTGATTACATCAAAATTTTTCCCGAAAACTAAACTAAATTTTGTAAGTTAAAGCATTTTTGATGAAGTAGCTTAAGTAATTTTAAGTGAGAATGAATTTAATTTTGTTATTTTTATTTACTTTATATACTGTGAAAACAAAATACCATGAATGTTTCTGTAATTTACATAACTTAGTTAGTGTCACTTTTTTAACCTAAAAAAATTAGTTTCTGTTACTAATTTTGATGGAATCAGTTTCAACCATTTCTTAAATCAACTTATCTAGCTTTACAGTGAGCAACAGTAAATGTGTTTTTAGGGAAAAGTAATGCCAAACGGATTACATTTTATATTTACATAATAAGGAAACGTTGATAATTAACTTATCTGGAAAGTCACAAAAATGTTGATATTGAACGAATCAGTAAAATGTTTACTTATAAGCTGTTTCATTTGTTTTCCACCAAACTCTTGCAAAACGATCCACTTGTAGTGACTACAACATTATTTAACTGTCAGCAGAGACTTGAGACGTAAGATTTTTTAATAACATTTAACCGAAATCACGATGTTGCTGGAGTCTGGACTCGATCTCCAACAGCGTTACATAGATTTAGTGTTTCAAACAATGTTGTCTCTGAACATAATCCAGGCAGAAGAAAAAAACATTTGTGATATATAAATGTAATTCATCTAATTCATTTGTTTCCCCACACTAAGGATAAACCCTCGTGATCTCGTTTTCAAGGGGGTCTTTAACACAGATATACAGAGAATTCAGTATATAAAACAAAACAACACAAATACACTCACACATATACAGACAGCAGCTCTCCCAGGCCTAAACACTCCCACACACTATGCCCCCCTTGCAAAAGGAAAAGCCAAAATACATACACCATGCAGAGCTGTATACACATTAGGTATAATTTGAAGCAAGAACAGGTAGTTTGAGGGTAAGTAAAAATATATGTCTTAAAGAAATTAAAGTAGGTAATAGATCTAATTGAACTGGGCTGGTTGTTCCAATCAGATGGAACTTTAAATCTAAAGGCACCTCGCCCAGGTTCTAGGGATGAAGAAAAAAGAAAACTCAGTATGCCTTACACTATATGATGTCCAATATGGAAAACACATTTAAAAATCATATCAGCTCTTGCAAGACAACATCCACTCGTAGCAACTAAAGCATGATTAACATCTTTTATGGTTAAGTGCTTAATGTTAAGGAAACATTGTGACTTGAAGCTTGACACAGGACATTTAACCGAAACCAGGATCTTTCCCTAACCTTAACCCTCGCCTACACCTAACCACATGCAGGACTCAGGACCCAGTCACTACTGCCAAAGTGCTGCACTTTGCACGTCCACCATACAAACCAAACTTAATTTCTTTGAGACAGGGTTGAAACTGTTCTTCAATCACTTCATAGTTTCCATTCAGAATATGCAGTGAGGCAAAGAAAAACACTACCAGGGCGGTTTAAGAGAAATATTGTTTTTTTTTTTTTTAAATTTAGAATTTTTGAAGTGGTTTTAAAAATTTGATTGCCAGGTTAAATGATAAATCCAGGCAAGTCTGGCATAATTTTCTCACATTAATTATCTAACAGAGGGTACGGGGTACCAGTTAACAGAATATAAAGGTATATCTGCGTTGTTCTTTTTTATTTTTTTCCTTTTTCTTCTTTTTTATTTTATGTTAACACGAATACAAACTTTGTTCTCTCTGTCTAGGCATCATCAAGGTGGGAAGGTGGAACCCCATGCCCATCCACTTCCTGACTGATGCACCAGAGGCCACAGTTGCTGACATGCTGTTGGAGGTCTACCACATGGTCACACTACGCATCCAACTACAAAGGTCAGATTGAGTTTTAAAAGTGAGATGTCACAGGTTACAGTTGTCCAGACATATCTGGATGGAAATTGTTGGAATCATCCATTCATTAGAGTTCACAGGAAATAGTTTGGGGCATTTCAGAAAGTAGAAATGTTTGCATCCTAAATCAGTGGCTCTCTGCTCCCCAATGCTCTTCCATTTAATATGAAAAACAACATCTGAAAGAGTGCATGTCCATATTTTATGGACACAGTGAGGCTTTTAAACACTGTGTGCGGTTGCTCTGAATCAGGTCCGCTGGGCGGCTGATGTCATTGCAGCTGATTGCAGTTCAAGAATTTACCATATCTATCAAATTTGAAAGCAGCAATATTGAAACACTAAAGCTCCAGTTAAACAACCCGGTGGGGATATATCTATTATCTGTCTCCGTTGGGGAGAGTCCGTGTGCCAGGAACTTCTCGTTCCCTCGAAGAAGTGAAGCAGGATCTTGATGGACAGATAAAAACAGATAAACTCCAGATGAGAGGATTATTATTGTTATTGTCTTGGCACATACCAGCCAGGTTTGTTTACGTGTTTATGTGTGTATATCCATGGCAATGGTTGAGCTCTGGCACACTTTGTGCTCAGTGTCGACATGATTTATTTGAGGTTCAAATTAAATAAAAATAGGAAGATTGCGGGACGGTACTGTAGTTCTGTACAGGAAGTGGTGGTCTGAGGTTGTGGTTAATACAGGATGTTTGAAAGACCAGTTGGGTTAGGGGTTAATTTGGGGTTAAAGGAACATTTGACATTTTTGGGAATTATGCATATTCGCTTTCTTGCCGAGAGTTATTTGCACTACAGCTCAACCAGTCTCATTTGTTTAATACGTACAAAAAGCAACAAGTTGTGGTTTTAGGGTCAGGGTTATGTGTCTGACCAGGAGATATTGCCAAGCAACCAGAGGACACTTCAGGAAGTCCCGGCCAAAAATCTGCCAAAAAATGACAATGATAAATCATAGGATTAGGTTATAGTTATTGTTATTTGTTTGATTTCTTGGTATGTAACTATAGGCCTTTTTCACAGCAGCCATTTTGACAGGAAATAATAGGGTAAACACAGGTGTTACCAATGATACTAATTAAGGTCCTGGTTATGTTCAGCTCAAACTGAGTCAGGTTGCTGCTATTGGCTCACTAGAAAGGCTCTGCTACACTAAATGGAACAGAACCTTAATCTGTATCATTGGTAACACCTGTGTTTAATCTACTATTTCATGTCAAAATGGCTGCTGTAGAAAAGGTGTATTGTAGGGGATTATAACTATTAAATAAAGAGTATAGAACTAGGCCTAAAAAACTATTTTTTCTTCCATTTTTGTCATGATGAGGTTGGACTTTGGACGAGAGTGGTATTGGTGATGAATATGGTGTAGTGGTTATCCAAAACATCCGAGATAACGCTGTGAAACAATTCTTAAGTTTATTCTTAGCCCTTTTGTGTCTCAGCTTCTTACCGAAAGATGTAACTGAGACCCTGTGTGGATTGTCTTGTCATAGTTTTTCAAAGCTGGAGGACCTGCCCTGTGAACAGTGGAACCACGCGACTGTCAGAAACGCTCTCAAAGAACTTCTGAAGGAAATGAACCAAAGCACTCTGGCCAAAGAGTGTCCCCTCTCACAGGTAACAGGCTCTAGCTACACAATATCCCCAAGCTCACCTTCACATCAAAATCACGGCCCGGATCAGAGAACTGCTTATCCCTTCAATAATCCTTTATATTCACTCTGTACGATGTTCCTTACATGTGATTTCAGTCTATTTCACTGACTAGAGCATCAGGTGCTCTTGCTAATGACTAAAATCAGTTTCAATTAGAATCTTAGAACTAATCCTACATGCATTGTATTGATTATTGTTACATTTAATCAAACTCAACCCAAAAAATTAAGAACTGTCTCCTCATTTGTGTCAAACTCCCCAGCTGCATGTTTAGCCCTCTATCTTGGTCTCATAATGACTGGTGTATGAGATTTATGTCTATGTGCCTGTGTGTGCATACTGTGTTTAAATGGAGCCCTGGTGGGAGTGTTGATCGCGGCATCAATTGCAAGCATGTGTGTGTGCGGCTGGAGATTCCCTCTCTGCACTGTACTGGCTCGAGTTTCCATGGGTGGCTTCCAATCATGATTAATGTTTGTCTATTTCTATTGTGTGTGTGTGTGTGTGTGTGATTGTGTGTATGTGTATGTGTGTGTGTTTATGCGAGCATGCCATGTGGTAGTTGCGTGAGTGTAAGCATTTCATATTATGTTGGTTATTAATTATCTTTCCACTCTCTTTCTCTCTCAGAGTATGATTTCCTCCATAGTGAATAGTTCCTACTATGCCAATGTCTCCACTGCCAAATGCCAGGAGTTTGGTCGTTGGTACAAGAAATATAAGAAAATCAAAGGTGAGCTGCACATTAGACAGTGGTCCAACTTCCTTGAATGCTCTTACAGTTGACCAGTGGTTCCCAACCCTACAGGCTGGGACTCAAACAAAGGGCTCCAAAATTATGAAAATCATAAAAAGCTAAACTTCTCTCTAATATTTGCTTTTTCTTGGGGAATATTGTAGTTTTACCTCTAAATATGAGATCTGTGAAGAGAAAATCCCCTTTTAATGACTGATAGTTGTGCGTTAAAGGTTATATATCCAAAATTCACTTGCCACACTAGTAAGTAAAGTCAAATTCACGAAAACCATCTTTGCTGGTCTTTCCAACAGTCACCAATGCTGGTTTGGACGAAATAAACCCTTAACTTACAAAGTTAAATGCGAAAATATTTGCAAAGTGTCTACAATGACGGCAACGTAAGCTGATCCTTGTGGACAAATGCACCGTCAAAGTACGTCTACTAAAAGTTGTAGTTTTTGCCACTGACAGACTCTGATTGTTACTCTCAGTGTCTGACAACTTTATGGAAAGGCAGAGATAGACCTTTTCTTTAATCAGAAACAGCCATAATATAGCTGTTGCTTGTCATCAGACTCCATAGAAAAAAACTGTAATTTTACCTCACAGCATCATAACTTCAGTCAGGACAGCAACAAAATAAAACCACTGTTCCAACAATCACCAACACGAGTTTGGTCAAAATAAATCTTCAATTCACTGACATTATCTCTTATTCACTAAAGACACAAGGCAGAATTTACGCCACCACTCTATATCATAAAGTAAACTGTGATGAATATAATTCAAGCATGCTATAGCTTGATGATATATGATACATCAATTCAGTGCTGCATTGGTGCTTTCAACTGGTGATATCTGACTCTGGACTATAAATTAATATTAACTTATGCTGCAGGCATCTATGACGGGACTTCCGTTAACTTCTTGCATCAAGTATAAATCAAGCTTCAGATATGCAACCAGTGATGAAGGGTAAAAGTAAACATAAAGGAATTGTGAACTGACCAATGCAGTGACATGGTCCTTTTACCTTTCTCAAATATATCATCTGTAATGACTCTTCTCCACACAAACGTGTAAACGTGTACAAAACAAGCGCTCACTGCTCTCTGATTGGCTGCAGCACATGTCAGTCATGGCTAGAAGCTTAGGCAGATAGGTGTAGAGTGTTGGACCATTTGTCCTAGCACCATTCAAACTCAACTGGACAAGCAGAGGTTTTTCCTTACAATGAATACTTCTTTTCTGAATGTGCAGTTCTAAATAAATCCATTTTGGTTATGAGCCTCAAAGTTAACTCTTTGCCTTGGAAACAGCCGTTTTGCTGATGTTTTATTCTTTGTTTTGTTGAGCAGTGGATTACCTGGAGAAGATGTGGTCAGGACGAGATGCTACTGACATCAAAAGTAAGGAATCTTACCTGTCTTTCTGACACTATGCCAACGTAAAGGTGTTTTGTTTGACCACACTGACTGTCCCTTCTCCTCTCCAGTAGAGAGAGACAACATGGCAGACTTCTGTGTGCTGGGTCAGAGACCTCCTCCTCACTTGGCCGGCCTGGCCCAGCTCAGTCACCTGGGAGCCGGCAGTCCCCTCCTCAAGGCGGGATCTGGAGATCCGCAGGCACCCTCTCAACCACCTCAGCAGCCTCCTCCTCCCCAACAACAGCCCTCGCCCCATGGCCCCCTCCACCACAGTCCTCCTCTCCGTACAGGCCAGGTGCCTCCTCCACCCCCACCCCCGCCTGGCGCCCTGCAGCCCCTGCTGGGGCCAGGTGGGCTGCTCTCCCCCCAACTCTCCCCACAGCTGGTACGTCAACAGCTCGCCATGGCCCACCTCATCAACCAGCAACTAGCCGTTAGCCGCCTGCTGGCCCATCAGCATCCCCAGTCCCTCAACCAGCAGTTCCTCAACCACCCGCCCATCCCTCGGGGCTCATCCAAAGCCGGCGACCACCCTGGGAGCAACCCCTCGGCCGCTGAGGTCTCCTCTGAAATCTACCAGCAGGTCAGAGACGAGCTGAAGAGAGCTAGTGTCTCCCAGGCCGTGTTCGCCCGTGTGGCTTTCAACCGCACACAGGTAGGAAAACAGGACAGATTGTGGTCAAGAAGGTTAGGAGAAAGTGTAGTTGGGAAAGTGTGGTGGTACAATGGTCAGAGGAAGAGGAGGAGCAAGGTGATGCTTCAAGGAAGGGAGAGGGTAGTTTCAGATGGCACAATAAGTTGAGGATGGAGATGGAGAAAATCTGAAAATGTATATATTGCATCCTGTGGTGGCATTGTGTTAGGCAAGACCAAAATATCCCTCTACTGCTTATTAAGCTACATGTTTTCAGACCAAACGGATCATAAGTCTCGTTCCCTACAACATATCAGGTGAGAGGAGATAATTGCCGTATTTGATAGAAATAAATGGAAACTGATGTCACTGAGACTATAATTTTTCACGCAGGGTCTGGCTAATTTTGTGGTCACCCACCTTGTGGTATTTTCAGTGGGATTAGCAGTAGCGTGACAGGGTAGCTTGCTGGGTCATTGAGTCTCCTTCCCCGCCCTCGCAGCAGCACAAACACCTGATGCATTCAGGGTGAGCTGAACTGGTTACTACACGCCCCATTAGATCATTGTAATGGGAGGTAGCTCATGGAACTACTGGTATAGGGGCCAGGTGTGTTTCAGTGAGTTTTGCATTTGTGTGTCTCTGTGTATGAGTATATGTATTTGTATGCTAATACTGTATATCTAAGGTTTTCAGTTTTTACGCTAAAAACAAAATGCATTCTTTTAAAAGGAGTAGGTTAATATAAACTGATTTTATAAGTACCCAAGTACAATCTAAGTTGAGGTACTTTATTTACTTTATTATTTTCTTGTACTTTTTTCTTCACTGCATTTATTTGACAGTTTATTAGTTATTTTACAGAGTAACAGTTAATAAAATACGATAATTTGCTATGAATCTAATCTAACCAACAGTACACGTGGCGACCAGTTGATTTACAGATATTTTATTTGCAACTTTTTTGCTAATCATCAGAGACATTTTTTCATTGTTCCAGCTTATTGAATTATTTCAATAATATAAAGTTATTTTTGCTGTTGGTTGGACAAAACAAGCATTCTGAAGGTGTCACTTTGAGCTTGTGTTGTGTAATTGTGATGGGCATTTATCACTGTTTTGTTTTTGTTTTTTTTTACTAACGAAACAAACAATCAATCAATTATTGTAAAAAGTAATTTTTAGCAGATGAATCCATAATTAAAATAATCATTAGTTGTAGACCTATACCAAATAATTCAAAATGAGCTCCACCTCAACCAACTACAACAGTTAAATCCTAAAATCTAATGATATCATCAGTCACTGGGGACCTTTTTATACTTTATACTTAAATTACTTTTTCTTTTGTAACATTTACAATGCGGGACTTTTACTTGTAATAGATTGTTTTTACAATGTGCTATTAGTACTTATCTAATATCTGAATACTTTATTTTAGGTATAACAGGTGCTTTTTCAACAATGACAGCTCAGAAAATCTAATGATGGGAAATCATGAGGAAACTGTGAAGTGTAAATAAACACTTAAAGGAATAGAATCCATTTATGCAAGTAAATACAAAATGGTGCCAAATGGTTTGTGCCCCAAAGATTTAACCAATTTTTTATTAATCACAATAAAAACCGTGGGCCCAATTCCCAAGCCAAGCAACAACAAATACCCAATCATCCCTGTTAAGAAGAAAACATAAAAGCATGCATTTGGATAATCCACTTCAATCCAAATCCGTTTGTCTAAGAGGAATAGAGGTTTGAACTTAATGATTATGGAGACATTATAAAGCAATAACACATCCTTCTTCACAAAGTTCATAGTGCAGATGTGTGTCTTTATCGTTCAGGGCTTGCTCTCAGAGATCCTGCGGAAGGAGGAGGACCCTCGCACAGCCTCGCAGTCTCTGCTGGTGAATCTGAAAGCAATGCAGAACTTCCTCAACCTGCCTGAGAGTGAGAGAGACCGGATCTACCAGGAGGAGAGAGAGCGCACCATGAACCCTTCAGTTGGCCTTCCTGCCTCCAACTCCTCCAACCCCAGTACTCCACGCCTCTCGCAGGTTAGTGTAGTGTAGCTAGTAGGGCCCGCAGTCTGTTATCACTTAGACATTTCTATGAAAGGAAGGAGGAAAACAGTGAGATTTGTATGAAGGATGCATGTCATCCAGCCTAGAAAAGAATGGACTCTTCCTAAATCCTGCCTTTTTTTTGCTCTGTGCTCCACAATTGAGCAAGCCTCCTTTCCTGTACGTAGATATGCTATTAGCTAGGCTAATGTTAAAAAGATAAAAGATTGAAAGAAAAGAAAAGATCAAATAAAAGTGGCATATATATATACACTGTATAGTCACTAAATAATATATATCAATCATTTGCTAACATTAGGTATCAGATGTCACTAGCTTCCTTTCTTTTTTTCTTTTATCTTTTCAACACAGACAAGCCACATAGCTGCATATATATATATATATATATATATATATTTATATATATATTCACATCTTAACTAACTAATAAAAAAAACTCAGTGTACAGTAATATACAGAGCAATGCTAGAGTGGAATTCAGTTCCCAATCATATTACATGACAAAATAATATATATGGTTTTAAAAAAATACTAAAAGAGCTTCAAAGGAAACTAGGTCATTAATAAGTGCTCTTTGGTGTAAGAGGGTCTCAAAGGGTAATCTGGTGAAATGTTGATACTTACTACTGATACTAATACTGATATTTTTGTTACTTTATGATACTTTCAGTCGGAGCCAGTCTTTTTATTGTTTTTGTTTTTTGTGTTTGTTTATAGTGTGTTAATTCTTATGGTTTTATCTACAGTATATGTGCGTTACGATGTGTTATGTCAGTGCACTGTACTGAGTAATGTGAGTGTGTGTATTTGTATATTATTTTCATCACGTAAATGTTATGCAGAAGCTAATGGGGATCTTAATAAACAAACAAGCAAACTAATATACATCAGTTGTTAAATAACTAGTTATATCTGATAATGTTGGCATAATGCCAACTAACTAGCTAGCTGACGAGTGATGCAGATTAGCTAGCTAGTTAGCTTGCATTTTGCTAAGATTAGCTAATTTAATTATATATATATATATATATATATATAGGGGGCGGGACTTAGGAAGGGTCATTTGGAACCTCTCAGTTCACTTTTGATGCCCAGTGGGCATTATCTGGATGCAATCGGATAGACCTACAACAAACCAGAGCAACGTGTGATGAAGCTTAGATGGTAAATGAAACTTACCAAATTCAAAATAAAGTACGGCAAACTCATCAGGTTCTTCTTTTAGAGAAAATATACAGTCCAGTTTGTTTAATACTGGCGTGATAGTGGATTCAACAAAAACAGTTCATCAATGGCAGCCATCTTAGTTGTTTGCCTCAACATCCAATAAGGTCATATTAGATAAAACTGATTGTGGTCCCGACCCGTTCCAGGACTGGTGGAAATTTGTCTTCATAGGCGACAGATTTATCTGCCAGAGAATACATAGCATGATCTTGCAGATACATCTAGGATCGCAGGATACGTGTAATAACTGCAATGCAAGCATTTGATTGTAACATGCCAGGTGTCTTGTGTGTGTGTGTGTGCATAGAAAGTGTGGGAGAGGAGTTTGGATGACCAGATAACCCCTGATACCTGGGCCTCCATCTGGAAGAACAAGACTAAGATCTCCAACTCGGTGAGTTATCTACAATCTTTAACTTGCCCCCGCAAAGTAGACAGCAGCACGTCATGTTCTATGTCTAAAAACTTACTGCATGCTTTTTTATCTTAAACAAATTCCATTTATAATGGAAAAACCACTTCAAAGCTATCATAGGAGCATATTGTAAACATAAAGGACATTATACAGTATTTGGACATTTCTTTCCATGTGTGCAGAACAATTTAGCAACATCAGTGATAAGGCGTTCTCTCTGATGTCAGGGCAAATGGCCATTTGAATTTGTGCGCTATTCTTATTATGTCTATGTAGAATTATCTCAGCATCGTTTACACTGAGGGAATGTAAGCTAGCCGGTCTGTACATGTCTTGTGGATGACTTCAAACACTGTGTATACAAGCTTTCTGAGAGCCAATACATGTTCATTCAAACAGAAACAACAAAGAAAGACAAAAGAGAAGGACTTAATGACTTTGATCTGTAAACAAAATTCATGTGGAGACGTGCGCTGCAGATGTGCAGCTGATGCTCATACAGGGAACACTGCATCTCTGTTCCTAGAGCAACTTGGCCTGATCATCAGCTGATAACTTTTCCTCATATGTATACACACTATTTGCTCTTGTGGCGAAATCTCTGAGGCCTTTAGTAATAGAGGGTATGCCTTTATGATATTTCCTCTCATCCAAACTTATCTGATAGCTTCTCCTCGTAAAACATTAACCACTCAAAAGGGACTTTCATTCCTGCTTACTGTGTGTTACATTATGTCTTGATCCTCCCTCTCAGCCGAAGCCGCCGGGCCCAGCCCCTGACCTCCCGCTGAAGCTGGAGTCGCTGGTTAACATTACATCGGGAATCTACGACGAAATTCAGCAGGAGATGAAGAGAGCCAAGGTGTCCCAAGCCCTGTTCGCGAAGGTGGCCGCCAACAAGAGCCAGGTGAGGGAATCACTGGGAAAACAGAAGCCATTAAAGGTCAAATCTAACATGGCGGCGTCTGCAGATAGAAACGGCTCATTCTAAGTTTACAAACAATTCCTATATTCAGGTGATTATACACTAATGAAAACATGCCTATGAATATTATATTCCATTTCTGACAATAGATCCTCCTAACTGTTACACACTGGACCTTTAAGTTGTTCCGTTTTGGACCAATTAGATCTTTAATTTTTTAGCACAAGAAGATATTTTCTGCTTGATAAATATGTGAATCAAAACAGTTTTGAAAAGCTTATGAATTCCAGAGCTAAAAAAAACATCAAACTGCAGAGACCAAAGTTGGAGCACTGCCTCGACTTGGTGATCTGCCACACTGTACACATTCCCAGTCATCAACTGTGTCACCTGTCACTTGGCTCGTGATGAAAGTTCTCTGCTGTTTTGTTTTCTCAGAGCTTTGATAACTATTTTAATGTGCTTTTGTTTTGTCTTAATTTTTAATTAATCTGAAGTTCTATGCCTTGAAACCGGACTTTTTAAGGTTTTCGAAAGGGGAAATCCTTTTTTTTTTTTTTTTACGACATTTGCAGACTTTTTGTATGTATGTCTTCATACATGTCTGGTGGGAATCTGTCAGAAAAGAAGAATGAATTGAAAGATCATCATAAAAGAGGACTCATTTCCTACATTCAAGAATTCAGGGTTATTGAATTCATTTATGACTCAGGGTTGTATAATGGAATTCAGATTGTAGTTCTCTTTATACTACTTGTACAACAAAAAACTGTAATGATTTACAGTAAAACTGATTAATAAGCCATAAAAATAATAAATACCATTTTGAATAATGAAGTGCTGAGCATTAATGTAAGTTCAAGAAAGTAATGCAAGTAAGCCAGCATGAACACCAATAAATGAAGCTAACTTAGCTAGCAGGATAACAACTGCATTCAACAACAACAACAAAAAACGTGAGAACGTATGCATCGTGAATACAGTGTGTACACGCGTGTGTGTGTGTGCGGTTAGAGAGGTCCCCCAGGTTGGCGGGTCTGGGGGTGGCTGAGGGTCACGGCTCAGCGCACCCATCTGCTGCAGCTGGCCACAAGGACAGGGAGAGAGGAAGAGAGAGATGATCAGGCTATTAGTGGTGCATGCTGCCCGAGGTGGCTGGTTGAACACAACAGCTGGTGTCACAAACTGAACCAGTCTAGCAGACATAATTGAATCTTCTCCATCTCTCCTTCCCCATCTTCCTCTCCTGCGTTTACCTCACACAACCTGCGCATTTTCAACTTTTCAACTTTTTTTTGCTAAATTTCATTTAGTCTCTCATATTTTTCTTTGTATATATGTTATTTCCCATTGTATCCCTTGATACTTTGTCTTGTCTTTTCTCTCGTGGTGCTTTTCATCCTTCTTCCTTATCCAGTGCCATGGCTCGTCGGTATGAGGGTGTTGATTCTTTGGCTCCACAGCTGTGTAGGGCCCATGGCAACAGAACCCCCCTCCTTCAAAATAATAAAGACAGGTTTAATGGAAGAGTCTGACATTTTGGGAAATTCACTTATTTGCTTTGTTGCTGAGAGTTAGACGAGAAGATTGATACCACACACGTGTGTACAGTAAATATGAAGCTACATCCAGCAGCAGGCTAGGTTAGCTTAGCATAAAGACAAAACAGTTTATAATCCTGCACACAGCCACTTAAAATAACAAATCACATTCAAAATGATAACAAAAATTGTCTAGCTGCCCAGGGACAACAGAAGAAAATTAGCTTTAAGCTAACTCCTGTGCAATTACTTTTAATTGTGCGCTGTCCCTGCAAAATAAACAAATAAATAAAGTAAATATAACATTGATTAGTAAGTTTTAGAGTTGCCCGTTGGTGGATGGTATTACCTTTGGACAGAGCTAGATTAGCTGTTTTCCCTGTTTTCAGTCTTTGCGCTAAGCTGACTGCTAGCTACTGCTGGCGATAGCTTCATATTTACAGTAAAGACATGAGAGTGGTGTCAATCTTCTCCTCTGCCTCTCAGCAAGAGGAAAATGGAACTTGTACATGAACATTTCCCAAATATGGATATCCCTTTAACATCTGCCTAACTCCACCTTTACCCCTACCTTCTCTTCTCCAGGGTTGGCTGTGTGAGCTGCTTCGGTGGAAGGAGAACCCCAGCCCAGAGAACCGCACTCTGTGGGAGAACCTGTGCACCATTCGGAGGTTTCTGACCCTGCCGCAAGCCGACAGAGACATGGCGTACGAGGAGGAGTCCAGGCACCATCACACCGAGAGGCTGCACACTGTCCTCCACCTGCCACAGGACACACAGGTAAGAACCAGACGCTCAAATCTCCAAGTCCAGATGGACACATAAATTCGACAAAGACAATCTCTGTCAATCATCTCATCCAAGTCTCGCCCAGAAAGCCAATAATCGTTTTTCCAAAATATACTCCTTTAAATATATGTGCTCTTCTTGAACATGGTCCTACCACACAAGACATAAATATGTTCAATAACTTCTTCATAATAAGAGCATTACTCACCACACACAAACACAGATTGAAAAGGTTGTCCCCAATGGTAGCAAGGGTTGTTACTGAACATACTAAGAGCATTCCACTATCATGACTGAACACACACCTGTCCTTATTAAGTCTCTATTACATTCATTTGGTATAACTATTTACTGTACTGTTTGATCTAGCTGTGTGTGCACATGTGTTTGTGTCTGTGCGTGCCCCAGTGGAACGAAGAGTAAACAGTGTTGCTGGGTGGTGTGGCACAGGAGGAAATGCCCCATTAGTTTTTGAGGAGGGAGGCGGAGGCTGAATGAGGGCTGAGGGAGATCAATGCAGGAAATACACTGACGCGTTGGCCTCTGTCATTACTGTAACCCTCCCACCCTGACACACACCCTGAACCCTGTTTGTCTCTCTTAGTCTTTTTATTACTCTCAAGCCCTATAGATAACACTTTCTCTGCTATTCATTTTAAGCAGAAGACACCACAGGCATATGAATATTACAAAAAATATGAAAAACCATCTTTTCTCACACAACATACACATCTTTTGTTTTGCTGGCTCTGTACTCAGTACGTTGCATTGTTTTGAGGTTATAGTGCCGAGCTTCAGCAGGATGTTTACATCCACATCAGATGAGCAGCGTAGGAATTTTAATCTTTTACAAACCCAAAACCCAATTTTAGGGTTTAAATTAAGTTGGACAAATGTAAAATAAACTTGTGAAGTTTGTAAACTATGTTTAATATTTGGTTGTAAATCAAGTCATTAGCAATTAAAACATGTTCATTTAGATTGAAGTCAGGGGACGTGTTACAGACACTTCCTATCTTAAGTCTTAAGTTAAGGTCGGAAGAGTCTATGATAGGGTTTTTACCATAGTGGTATTACTATCTTATCTTACTTCACTCTATCTCTTAAATACTGACAGTTCAACTGTATGAAAGAATATTCTAATAATAGCCACTTTTATAATCAATAATGTATCATCCAGTTTAAAACCAATGAGCACATTTGGAACATGATTGGTGGTGTTGTTGAAGGGGTACTTGAGTTCATCTGAAAGAACAGATTTGGAGGAATTGTGTGAATAAGTGAATACAAATTTTGAACTTTTCCTTTTGATTCAATGTGCTGGGGTCCAGAGCAACAATACCAGAACATGTGTCACTTTTCTACAACTGCACTGTAAAAGGGTCAAAGTTCAGGGTCAGCCCCACAAACTGAATTCAGTGCCTGCTCACCAGCAGGGCTGAGGCCCGAGCCCAGGTCCTCCGGTTGAGAGATAGTCTGTCTAACCACCAGCCCACCCTGCCCCCGATGCAAAGCCATTATATACCACATATAGTATATAACATATGCCATAAATCAAAAACAGGCAAATGCTGAAACTTCCCATTTAGCATCCCGACATGAATCCTACAGTATGAGGTTGTTTTGCGGCTCCACCCACCACCGAGCAATTTCTCCCTCTTCCCATTCAGAGCGCTGTATTAAAGGCTGATGGGAAGACGGGCAGGAAGTTGTGGTGGCACCATTAACACATTCCTCTGCTCCTCTCACACTCTCAGCAAAGATTAAAAATAAAGTTAACCCTCATAACACCCTGGTTGTAACCCCCTCCACCGACCCCCACCCACCTCCAGAGACGCAGAGAGATGAACTGTGGTGAAACACTGGTGATTTATTAATGGGAAATGAGGTGTGTGCGTGTGTAAATATGTGTGTGTTGTTGTCTTCAGACCCCCCCTCGGTCCCAGATGAAGCTCCCACCAACCTCAGGCTCCAGCCAGCCTGCCACCACAGACCACACATGTGTCCCATCTGCCACACATGCACATATACAGCGTCTCACACTGATAGTCGGTAATGTGAGCACTCTTTTGTGTTGTGGACAATAAGAGGGTTTCTAAAACTCTAACAACCAACCACAGAATACACATGAAAAATGAATGTGGCGCTGAGGCATAGCTGTACAGTTAATCCGCACATCAGCAATGTGTGTGTGTGTCTGGACTGGTCCGTATGTACAGTAGCGTGAGCCATTTCTGCATGTTGGGGGTTCTGGGAGATCTCTGGCTGTGTCACAGTTTTATACAGTATTAAGTCTGCAGGTGTTGCGTGTGTGTCTGTGTGTGTGCATGTCAGTAACCTCAGCAGCTTCACATTTCTCCATGAGCGACAAGGTCCTGGTGCTCGCTCTGCAGCTCTTATTCATACGGCTTTAGCAGTTAAGTGCGTCCCAAAGCTAATTTGGCACAGTCTGCCCTTATGAATAATTTCTGTATTGTTTTTGCTAAATTGATTTCTGCCGCAAGTCTGGGGGTGTTTGTGTGTGTCCATGTGTGTGTGTGCATGACCGCTCACTGTGGCTGAGACCCCAGGAGTGGTGGACTAGAACAACAAGTAACAAGCACTGCGCCCCTCCTCCTCTCTCTTGTGTCTCGGTTTCAGCCAAAGGTGCTTCACTGGCATCACGGACAAATCGCTCCTAAATGCCTATGTCTTTTAAACTCCACACCCCGTTGTGTAACTCAGACTTCCTGTTAAAAATGTGAAATCTTCAAGCCCAAGCCAAGAAAACACTGATGACCTCACCAGGTATTATTTTCTCCGAGTCTGGAAAGTTCCCACCAGAGCCTTTAAACAACAGTTCGCCAGAGCTTCCCATGATGAGTAAACTGATCTTGATGTGTAAAATCAGTGAGTGCCTCTTTAAAAGATCCCATGATTCTCCATAGACTGGAAAAAGGCCCGACCTCTTGGAAACAAATCTTTATAAAACTCTAGTGTTTATATTCAGTGATGGCTGAATTCCATTTAGCTGCTTCAGCTTCAGGGTCTCGGTATGCTGAATCACTGTCACACTATCATGGCTTACTGGGTCACGGGTTAGCTTTTACATATGTTAGTGCAGGTTGTCCATTTATTGTCATTTGGTGGTTCGATCCTCGACTCCTTGTGTTCTCGAGTAAGACACTCAACCCCAAGTTGCTCCCAATGTATCAATGTGTACTGTATGGGGGAAAACATACAAAGACAAAGTTTTACGGTTAGCCACCTTTACAAGCTTTAACTAAATAGCCAACTTAGCATTAGCAGCTGTTTACTTACAAGCCTAGAAGAAATGTTGCGAGTTCAGCATCAAACTTAATTTCGTTACCTGCCAAGAGCTGTCACCAGCTGTCACCAGCAGGGGAAAGCAAAGCCAATGTTAACTCGTTTTTCTTCAATTTCTTTAACTTCTTTTTTGGCACGGAACATGGTTTCTTTCCCTCGGGCGACACTACTTCTTCATACATGTTGTACTGACGGCAGACTGGACACTGCAGTGACTCACTATCGTCTCTTGAGGTACAAAGTGGTATTACGAGACGGGACGTGCTGACTAGCTGGTGTATGCTAACTTCAGTGGATATCTCTGCAACACAATACGTCAAAACTGTTATTTCTTCACATTCTGTTGATCATTAAAATCATTGCTTTAAACTAAAATTTGTTGATATTGCTCCTTTAAATACTAGAAAACCAACTATGTATGCATCCGCATCTGAAAATAGTCCCAAACAAATACTCCTGTTTGCGCAACATTTGCTAAAAAGTACAGTGACCAGCTCTGAAACACTTATGCCTTTAGTAGGAACCACTGTGCTTGGGTCAGAGTGACAGAGTGAGGGTCAGAAAGTTGGAAATTATTGAGCCGGATTAGCGCAGTTAGTTTTGTTCTTTTTGAAAAATGCCACATAAATACCTTTTTTATGTCATTGTGAAAACATGATTTGCTGCAGTTTTTTTTCCAAAATATAATTTTATTTGTTTGAATAGCTGACAATTGTTGTTTGTGTATTTAGAGAAAGTAGCTGCCTCTCTTTCTACTGTATGTTTCCCTCTCCAGCCTTCAGTGCATCCCGGTGGCCTCTTTTTCACTGTTGCAGGGTGGAGTTTGGGCTCTTTGGCAAACCACAATTAAGTTAATTGTTTAATTGCTGATAAGTGGAATGAATACCACACACAGTTTGAAAGAAAAAAATATGCAACAAGGCAAGTGCGTGCATGCATATACACATATGACCACACAAACAAACACGCACACACACACACACACACACACACACACACACACACACACACACACACACACACACACACTCCCAGCTAGCCTCAGTAACATTACGTGTATACAGTTATTCATCAAAGAAACATTATTTTACAAAAAAGGGGAAATGTGCCGTGACTCATGTACTCCCTTAGCATGGATCCAGTCCTCATGAATTGCAACCACACACACTTATTCAAATACAAGAGTAAGAGGAAGAGACAGACAGACAGACAGATGGAGAGAAAGAGAAAATAAAAAACACACAGATTAACAAGAAAGGTAAAGTTATGCACAAAACTAACAGAAAAGTGATTTTTCCTTCATTACAAATTTATCTTTGTGTTAATGGTGTCTCTGGTGGCGCACTGCCCCCCCAGTAAAACACAGAAAAAGAGAGAGAGGGGGGGGGGAGAAAGAGAGTTAGAGGCCCTGGAGGACCAGAGCTCATTAAGGGGAAGATGAATATTTCATGTTCTATAATTCTTTCATAGTTCTGCGCCGTAATTTGCCTTGATTTACGTTTAAAGGGAAACTTTTTCATTTTACTGCAGTGCACTCACAGCATTGCCAGGAGAGAGAGAGAGAGAAAGAAAGAAAGAGAGAGAGAGAGGGGGAAAGAGTGAGACAGAGAGAAGAAAAAAGAGAGAATATTTTCAGGAATATTGAATCATGCCATGAGAAGAGCTGGTCTGGCCGTGGGGCTCCA